CATCTTGGCCAGGCTGGTCTTGAACTCCTGACCACGTGATCCACTCACCTCGGCTTCCCAAACTGCTGGGATTATAGGTGTGAGCCACTGCGCCCAGCTGCAAACATGTAAAATTCTTGATTATGCATAAGACGCTAATCAGCTGCCAAAGACCACCCCGTTCCCACCTTTTTCTTTTTTAAATAATTTACATGACCTTGTGGAAATACAGTGGCCCAAGTACATTAATGCTGAACTCTCCTGGGGGAAAATTTACCAAGACCACTTGTCTACAGATGAAAGAGGTATTGTCACAGACAAATGGACAAGCCTCCTTCTTCGTCTGTGGGGGCAAGGCTGTCTAGTCCCCTTATGCCACAGTGCTCAATACGGTAAAAGAAGCCTGAACTCATGTTAGCCCAGGCTTGTTTACAGAAACTTGGCTTTTCCTGGCACACCACCAGGATGCAATTATGATTCAAGAAATGAATAATTTTCATATTCCCAAGAAGATGTCATGATATCCACTTTATTGCTATCCTACTTATGCTTTTCAATTCAAAATTCATCAGTATCATTTTAGAACATGATATAATTTTTATAGTCTGCATTATCATTATATTATTGCTGGAAATTATATTTCATGATGCCGTCTAGTTTATTAAGATTCTTTATGGGTCGTTATCCTCAGACTGTTTGCATTGTGTCTGCATTCCCAATTATTTTCCTTGAAAGTATCTAGAAAAACATCCATATAGGTAAAAGAATAAAGAGATTTGGGACAAATACTGTGTTAAAATGATAACATTTGAGGGTAATCTTTCTAATTAAAAAAAGTCATATTGTTTTTTCATTATTTTTTAAAAAGAAAAATAAAGAGGTGTGTACTACACTTGCATTACATGAGAAAGTGCAAAAAACGTATCAGTTCAAAAACAAAGAAATGTTCTGTCAGTAAGCTTCTTAATCATGTGTTGTTTTTCCTGAAACCATTGCTGATTGGAAAAGGTATTTCCACACACTGTTATCCAAGCAAGAAAAATTTTTCTTTTAAGTATTCGTACTCAGCAAAGATTATTCCCAACCAGAAAAGTTCTCCTTAATTTGTCATTGGTCTTGAACAGAAAACTAATATATTGGATTGGAAGAGCAAGAAATAATGATGTCTTCCCCTTCTGAGTTTGGAACCAGTTGAAACAATAGAACAAAAAGACATCTTGAGATCAAAACATCAGGCTTATTACTGCTAAACATACTATTTAAGAAGAGTATGTCTTTATAGCTTCAAACCACTGGGCTGACACATATACATGCAATCATAGGCACAAATAGAGAATCATAGACCTTTACTGCAGAGTAAAGAAGCAGAGAATAGCTTGGCTTTGAGAAAGAGGAATCCTGAGAAGGTCTTGAACAAAGGAAGCTCCTTCTCAACTCAACAACCAGATAAATCCTCTTCCTCTATTGAAACAGTCAACATACTGAACAGTTCCATTACTACCAGCATTCTTCACGTGGTCTTTTCATTATCATACGCACCTCCCACTGCCTCTCCCTGACCAATCCACAAACCCTGCAAACTACTACTCTCTTCTCTGTTTTTAAAATGTTGTCACCAATACCCCCACTGGTCTATTTACAATTGTTTGCAGTATATTTTGCTATCTAAAAGAGAAAATATACTGCCTTCTTGATTACTTTTATAAAATTGTTTTAAATTAAAGTATGTAGATTTCCTTAATTTGTTAATTTTCTGAAAACTTTTTAAAGATCCGTGAATAAAGTCTGTTGGGACTTTTATTGGAGTTGTACTAACATAATAAGTCAATTTGAAGGAAAATGATCACCTTTCAAAAAAGGGTATGCATATGTCTCTAGATTTATTTAAATCCTGTTTTCTATCTTTCAGTGTAATTTCATAATTTACTCCATACAATTTTTAAACTTTATGGTTAAGCATATTTCTAGGTACTTTAGACATTTTATTCTATTTCAAATGTAGTTCATTTGTCACATTGTCGATTTTCAAATGTGTTGCTCTTGAGTTACAGGAAACTGGGATGTTGCATATTTCCTCTAGCACCTTTTCATTTTCTGAAGGTTTTTCTCATAGAATGTTGCATTACCTATGAATAATGACAGTGTTATTGTTTCTTTTGTGCAATATTTACTCTTCTGCTGGCATTTCTTGTCTTAGTGTGATGGTTACTTTCTTCAATGGGGTATATGTTGACCATTAGCTGGGATAGAGACCATATCTCACTTGTTCTTTTGATTTTCTAATATATTTTCTAATAGAGTATTTTAAATGATTTTTGATTAATATTTCATTTGCTAGAGGTATTTGGCATAGGCATTTCTGAAGCTCAGAAAAATTTTTATCCCTAAGTGTTTTCATTCACACTAATAATTTTCATAATTATTTATTTTTTTTCTTCAAAATTGAGATTTTTTTAGACAGACCTCTTTCCCCAGATTTACGTATGTGCATATGTTCATGGATTACCTGCCAAATGCCTTAGAAGCACTTCAGGCTTAATGCCTTTCTTCTAAATATGTCTTCTTCTTATTCTCTCCACCCACAGTGGTGGAATTACCATATCCCTGTCATACACGCCAAATTCCAGGCATTGATTTTAAATTTTCATTCATTTAGAAAGAAATAAATGCATGAGACTGTGGGCAGAAATTTGGTAAGCACATTTATAAACAGGTAACAGTGAAGCAAACCTCTGTGTGTGTGTGCAGGCATGTGTATGTATGTACATGCTTGCTTGTGTGTACGCATGTAAATAGATACATAAAGAATACATATCAAATTTATGATATTGACCTTTCTTCTGAGGAGGAAAACTGAACTGGAGACACAAACCAAGGCGTCTTAAAGTATACCAAAGCTAGCATTCCTTTTTTAAAATAAAGATCTAAAACAAATTATTCTGGGTGAAGGCATAAGGATGATTATTATAATATTGTCTGTACTTTATATTAAGGTATTTCTAAAGGAAAATTCCAAATCAAAGACCACAGTGGATTTTGACTAAAATATGAGAATATTAAAAGAAAGTAGGCAGGTGAATATGAAATAGGAGTGTGAGCCAAGGCTGACACCATTGAAATGCAAATATGTGGCGCAGCTTCAGGTGTTACCAGGTTCTTAATAACTCTGCTTATCTCTTCTAGAATTCTTAGCCTGATATTTCTTTAAAAGAACTGCCAGCTTCAGGTTTCCACAAAGCATGCAGATTCCAGCTAAATTATTCACTCCCGCTGCTTACAGAATGTACCTGTCACTCTTCACCTACACTCTTGCGTGAGTTTGCATTGTCTAAGAGGTAGCTTCTCATTTAGTAACTGCTTATTAAGCCAAGCATCAATTACAATAATTTCTTAATTATATTTAGTACTCAGGTATAAAAGAGCCTTTTGTTGAAGAATTTTAGAGATCAAGGGGATAAAGACAACTAACTAAATCAACTGTAGCTACAAGCAAATAAATGTCAAACTATTGATTTTCTCTCTCTCTCTTTTCTTTGCAGTTTTAAAATGCTTATTTACAGAAGACTTACAGACTGACAGCATGAGGAGCTGCATGAACCCTTTCCCAATCAAATCAGCTATCACTAGGGGAAAATATGTTTTTTAATTATTTCAAATCTCTAGAAACTGTCCTCAGATCAATACCAAATGAAATAACACATTTATTCAATAAAATCTACCAAATCTAAGTAGGAACAGCAGAAGCCTGTGGCTCTTGAGCCTTGCCCACCTCTACCCTCCTTCGTCTTCCAACTTAGTGTAATGGAAATTCCACCACGAGTCAGAGTGGCCAAGGAGATGGGGCTCCCTCTCCTGCAGGCTCCCAGTTGAGGGCTGTGGTCTCCTCCTTGGAGGGGTAATCTGACAGCATCACTCAGCCCCCTCGCCCCCAGCTCTGTGTTGTAGAGGCTAAATTCCAAGCAAGTGTGACTGAGAGGTTTGGAGCTTCTCTCCTACTCCTAGGACCCGCAGAGTGTGAAGCCTGTACCCAGAGCACGACAGGCCAAGAATATGGGGAGCCTGATCATCCTTGGCACATTTTAGTCACAGAGCAAACATGTCTTGCGGGGAGAGGTAAGCCAAGAGGACCAGAGGCCATCACCACAGTCCAGCACAAACTCATAAAGCAGTGGCCAGTCTGAGAGAAGTGGCTCACTCCCTGAGCAGGGGCTCAGAGGCTGCTCAAGTGGAGAGGCAGGTTGTAAGAACAAACTCCAAAGCCCTCCACAAAGGGAGTAACACTATTTAGAAAAGAAAATGGAGAAGTTCAAGCCTAAGCGTTTTCTTAAAACCAAAGGCGATTTTATTGTCAAGCATTGAAGAGGAGGCTGGTCTGTCCAGGACAGTAACAGGCTGAACTGTAAGCCCATTAATTTACGAGGGAGAACCAGAGAATGACACGGCTAAGAAGAGCCCTCCTGTTTCCCCTCCTGTCCTTTGAGGACAAAACTCAAAGACTGGTCTCAAAAACTATCCCTAAAAAGATATAATATGTAATTGGCTTGGGCTGTAGGGAAAACTATGTTCCAGGGTATTGTTAAAAAAAAAAAAAAAAAAAAAGGAGTAACCACTTGATAAGTAGTGAACCTGGGTTCAAAACCAGTAGAGGCAGACAGCGTGACAGAGAGACAAAGGAAAGCAATATTCAAAAAGAGCTCACATCCACACGCTGCCATCCTAGGGCAGCTGCGTTCACGTCCCACGGCTGCGTTTGCTCTTGGAGAAGTGACGTCAGATTCTCCACACAATGAGATCAGTGGGCATCATTAAAATAATCTCACCAAGTTGCTAAACAAATACACAAGCAGAAGCCATCAATAGCAAGTCCTAGAAGATGTGGTATGATAAGTGTCCAAAGTTGCTACAGTGAATTACTGAAAATCCCCAGTTTTCAACAAAAAATATGAAATATTTTTAAAATAGAAAAATCTTACTCATATGCTCTTGAGGAAGGCCTGACACAGCCAGGCCGGCCCGCAGACATCCAGGGGCTTAAATGCCTCTCTGTGGTGCTGTGCTCCGATGGTCACCATCCTTGTCCACTTTCGTGTTCTGCTTTCCCACCTGGTGCTCTTTTTAAGTTCTTAGAAGTCGTGAGAAGCAACAGAGGAATCCCAAAAGCCTTTGATCTTTCTGATAAGTGCGTAGAAAGATGCTGATGTATGTGCCTCCCCTCCTTGCCGTGGCTACCTGAAAGGGAGGGGCTCCTGTACTCTAAGCACGTGACTTGCTTGACCCTATCAATCACATAAGACGATTCACCATCCTTACCCTGCCCGCCCTACCTTGTATACAATAAATACCAGCGCATCCCAGCATCAGGGGCCACTACGGGACTCCGCACCTTGGTAGTAGTTAGTGGTCCCCCAGGTCCAGCTGAATTCTTCTCTTATCTCTGCGACTTTTGACTTTCTTTCCTGCGATCTACTGTCTCTGCACACAAAAGAATACCTACTAGACCCTGCAGGGCTGGATTCTGAAAGAAGGGGAAAAAAAGAAAGAGGAGAGAAAGCAGAAATATAATAATAATAAGCAGCCAAGAAAATATGCCCTGTGAAACCTAAAATGCTTATTTTCTAGCCCTTTACACAAAACACTTGCCAACTCCTGATGTAGTTTGATTGTAAAGATAATTCACCTTTCTTTCCTATATTTATGCTCTTTACAAAGCAAATTTGTAAGTCTTCCATCAAGAAGTAGAGTCTATTTCCCAAGCCCTTAGATATGACTGTCCGTGTGCTTTTTATTTTTATTTTTAGCCCGTAGAAGGTGGTGCAATAATGGCATGCCTGTTCTAAGCCTACACTTGAAGAGTTTTGCACATTTTGGCTCTTTTTCTCACATCTCATAAGAACAAGCCTGGGCTAGCCTGTTGAATGGTGAGAAAAGGAGAGTTGAGACCCCAGCCTGCTTAAAAATGACCCCCAGACACACAACAGAGTCTAAGCCATTTCAGCAGACAAACCCTCTACCCAACTTACCAGACCTACAGCTAACTACCCCAATAGTTCCATAGCAAAAGAACTACTCCACTGCCCATAACCACATGACCAATCATAAAAATATATTGTTTCACACCTTATAAATTTTGGGATGGTTTGTTGTGCAACAAAACCTAATTGGCACACATCTATGAAAGGAGAAGGGAATAAATACTTCACACTCTATTTTCATGATTGTTCTTGATCAGCATCTTCCAGCAAGCTGGGTACAAGCAAGATGTCTGCAGCAACTTAAATTTCTGCATTTGAGATAATCAGACTCTTGCAACTAAGGGATTAGATTCCTGCAATTTAGAAGGCCCTGCACAGTGGCTCACACCTGTAATCCCAGCACTTTGGGAAGCCAAGGCAGGTTGATCACTTGAGGTCAGGAGTTCAAGACCAGTTTGGCCAACCTGATGAAACCCGTATCTTCAAAAATACAAAATTAGCACGGTGGTGCAAGCCTGTAATCCCAGCTACTCTGGAGGCTGAGACAGGAGAATTGCTTGAACCCGTAAGGCAGAGGTTGCAGTGAGCCAAGATCATGCCACTGAACTGTCTGAGCAACAGAGCAGGGATCCATGTCAAAAAACAAAAAAACACACAAATTTAATCTCCTCAATTTAATCTCCATGTTAGTCTCACTAGTATGTATTTTCGTAACCTAGGAAACCTGGAATGAATCACAAGTCTGGGCACAAGGCTCCGAGTACAAGGTGAGTATTTCTTGACGCCCAGCTGTCCCTGTTTCAGGCCTTTGTTCAAATGTCACTTTTGGCTCTCTCTCTTTACTGCATTGGGAAGGAGACTCTTCCTCTCTCAATTTAGACCCCAGTGGTCTGGAGCCTATGAATTAAATGGCAATGAACAGAATAACAGCAGAATAGACAAAATTTCTCTGCACACATCTAGCAGCACGTGAAAGAAGTGGATCTCTGAACAGTGAGGGGCTGTGGCTTACACAGGAGCTTGGGTAAAGAGGGAAGGGCAGGGAGGGCTAGGGAAAGAATGAAACCTCTGATGAGGATTGCTGATGCGGTTGGCTTGAAATCTCATAATATTAAAGATCTCTATTGCCTCCCTGACTGGAAACCCTGGATTTGGGCTTTATGGCAGCTAAATTCTCTGGAGTCTCTGCTTTAGTCTGATAGGAGAAGTTCAGTTAAGATCTCTTTCTACATCTGCTGTAATCATAAGTCCCTTCAGCAACACGTTATAGATTGAATTGTGTCCCCCACCAATCAATGTTGAAGTTCTAACCCCTAGTATTTCAGAATGCAACTTGATTTGAAAATAGGGTAATCGTAGATGTAATTAGTTTAAATGAGCTGTATTACAACAGAGGCCCCCAATCCAATGTAACTGGAGTCATTATTAGAACACAGCCCTGTGAAGACAGACATACTCAGAGACTGCCCTGTGACCAGGAAGACAGAGTATCGCCATGAAGCTGCAAGCCAGGACCACCAAAACATGGCTGGCCAGCCCCCAGAAGCTAGGAGGAGGCAAGGAAGCTTTCAGAGGAAGCCCGGCCTTGCCAGCACCTTGATTTCAGGCTTTCAGTTTCCAGAACTATGAGACAATACATTTCTGTTGCTTTGAGCCAGCCAGTTTTTGTACCTTATTATATGGCAGCCCTCCCCCCAGCATGTCAACTATCTAGATTAATTACATCCTGGATGTGTCTGGTTGGTGGTTGTGACTCAAATATGAGCTTTGATTGAGGATAAGGCAACACGCAGAAAAGAGCCTGGCTCATAATAAAACAGCAAATGCTGTTGAACATGTATTAAGCACCATGTTCTAACTCAAAGGGCACTACATGTATTAAATCATCGATTTGCACAACCACCCACCTCCCCAAGAAAAGTACCATTTGAATCCCCATTTTCATGGAGGATAGGCTGAGGATTTAGGTGGCTTGCTCACAGTCACATAGCCAGTAGAGGGGCGAAGCTGGGATTCAAACCCAGCAGTCGGATTGTGGAGCCCTGGTGGGCGAGGGGATGAACGGGGCTCTCAGGCGCATGCCCTCCCCTCCCCATTCACAGCCCTCTTCATGTCTCCACAGTCTTCGGTGGCCCCTGTGTCATCATCAGAATCTGCCCCTTTTGAGCGTTTCTTCATTTAGTCGGCAGCTCCCTTCATTTCCATCTTATTACAGGCTGGTCCAGGGCTCATCTCCTAGGAGACAGTAAGTGATTCTGTGTGGTTTATTATTGTTATATACACTTCAGACACTTTTATTCATTTCATGTTACTGAATTCTGGGTGTCCCTAAAGTTGGACATTTATCTACAGAATGTAGCAGGCTTTGTTATATCCATCCATTTGTTACAATCCCCCAAATAAGAACTTTATTAACTTTTTACCTTTTCTCCTCTATTTAAACTATTTTTGCTAGACATGCTAAAGGATATCTCAAATTTATGAGCAAAAAGCTCCTCTTACTAATCTACCTCTGCTGTGGGGAAAGGGCTCCAGCAGACGCTATTTCCCACCTTCCAACTTCCCCACCCCCAGTCAATGGGACAGAGCCCAGGACTCTTAATGGCTAGCAAAGTCAGTGTTCCAGAGAATTCTACCAGATTCATACTTGCAGAGGATGAATTACACAGAATTGTTAACCAACTTCTGCTTTTTTTGTTCTAGGATTTCATGAGAAAAAAAAAAAAAAAAAAAGAAAGAAAGAAAGAAAGAAGAAAGAAAAAGAAAAAATAGGAAGGAAGAAATGTCATAATTAATTAAAATTTTTTTGTTGTTGTTTTTGAGACAAAGTCTCGCTCTGGCGCCCAGGATGGAGTGCAGTGGTGCAATCTCGGCTCACTGCAACCACCGCCTCCTTGGTTCATGTGATTCTCCTGCCTCAGCCTCTCAAGTAGCTGGGACTATAGGCGTCCACCACGCCTGGCTAATTTTTTGTATTATTAGTAGAGATGGGATTTCACTGTGTTAGCCAGGACGGTCTCAATCTCCTGACCTCATGATCCGCTCACCTCAACCTCCCAAAGTTGTTGGGATTACAGGCGTGAGCCACCACACACGACCTGAACTTTTTATTTGAGATAATTTTGGATATTGAGAGCAGCTGCAAACATAGTAAGGAGACTGGCCATGGCAAACAGAACAGATCAGTGAATTCTCTCCCCAAAAAACGAATATAAGGTGAAAAAAAATTTCAATAACCACCATTATTGCTCTGGAAATTGGCAAACTGTTCAACTTTGAATCAGAACAGTGGTAATGTGTGGCATTCTGGCCTGGGGGAGTCAGCCCTAGATCAGTCACTATGGAAATTCTGCTAGGATGGGGCTCTCTGTCCTCTGCCATGATGAAAGGAAGTCCACTTGACATGGAGCAGCAGCAGTAATGCCCACTTCCAAGGTGTCCTCTGGGGAAGGGACTTTTGGAGGGGTGGAGGGGCAAGTGGGAAGCTAACTTTTGTCTCTATGAGCCTGAGTTTGTGGTCATGGTTGGGAAGCACATATTCCTGGTTCAGGCTGCATATCTATGCAGTGGAGACTAGAGGACTCAAGTTATTCACACTCTCCTGGCTGACCCTGGGGCTACGCATGTATACATAGGAGACTCCATAGGGCCCCATGAAAAGCCAAAGCCTAGCGACTTGAAAATGACTGGATCTCTGATCCATGAGCAGGGGCTTGAAGCCTTATTGGCTAGAGGTGTTTGAGCAATAGGCCACTAAGCTAGGCTGATACAGGTGCAAACCTTGGGAAGTACGTATGAAAACCAAAATTCAAGAACAACAATGAAAAGACCTTAAGCTGAACTATCAGTGGCTGCATATCACAGGAGACAGTTTATTTTGACCCAGGCTTTGATTTAGTAATCAAGCATTTAAGAGTAGCTATTGTAAATACATTGATAGCATTAAAGGTGTTCAAGTTTAAAAAATTAAACTATGACAACAATGAATTAACAAATAGTCTCAATATAGATATACAAATTATAAAAAAGAACCAAACGGAAATTTTGGAGTTGACAATTAACCCGAAATGAAAGGTTTCCTAGAGAGGGGAATTCATAGCAATTTGAGATGATAGATGAAGTAATCAGTAAATTTAGAGACAGATTAATAGAAAGTATCCAATATGAAGAGCATAGAGAAAGAAAAATTGAAAGTAAAAAATAAACATTGTCTCAAAGACCTATAGAAATATATCCAGTATAACCACATAAGCGTATAAGTGTCCCAGGAAAAGAGGGAAAAGGAAGGGGAGGAAAA